TATGTTAAAGGATGCTAAATGTCTAGCAACCCCCAGATCATCCAAGTGGTTCCTTTCCACTTGCTAAGTGGTTCTTTGGTTTAGGTTGTTTTGTGGGTTTGGGGGGAAGGGTTGAGTGGCACAGTGCACATCCACTTCACAGCGCGACCATCCACTTCACAGCGCGACTGATTTTTCCGCAGCCCCACTGCGGTGATGGTTGAAAGTTCACGGATCACGGATCAGGTGCCGTGTCAAGTCAAGGAGTTTCATGCTCCAGGAGGAACCTGGGATCAGGATGGATTGCTTTCCGAATTGAAGAACTGGTGACAGGTGACATGAAAATGTCAAAAACGGATTGAATAGTGGATTGAATGTTAAAATGGCAAAACCGAGTCGCAGGGCACGTGCTTCTTGAGCCGCAGCAGCCATTGCCTCCTTGTCCATCCCCTGACTCTTGGCTTTCTTCCAGGCAGTGGAGTAGACCTCACGACTAACAAACACAACACCCATCCCACTCACCCATCACCTATCATCCACCATCGAATGAAACTGATTTAGTGACCCTGACATCGATCACCCATCCCACTCTTGGCCAAGATGCGGAGTGGGCTTTCTTTTCCACTTCAGTCTTCTCACGCCGCGCACGTGGCACATGCTGCACATTCGCACAGGGTTCCTTCATCTTCTGGGATCGCTTTGGAGCGGCTTTTGGCTTCGGAGTCGTTTTTTGCTTCTTCGAAGCAGCTTTTGCGTTGGCTGCCCTTGTACGCGCAGAGCTCTTCGCAGAAGCTTTGGGCTTTGCTTTGGCCGATGGCCTTGCCTTAGCTAGATATCACAAAGCCCTGGTACACATCATAGGAAACGGAAATTGTACTGCGCAAATATTCTAATTATTAGTTGAAATCAATGCTGATGTTTGCCGATGTATGTGTTAAGTCAAGAGGCTTCAGGTGCACGCACTTCATCTAAAGCCTACAGCATACTGTCTACAAAAACACACATTCTCACATGGTGTGTGAAGGATTTCCCCAAGTGCTTGCACACAGTTGGTCTAGCCTCCAGATCTGTTGGTGATGAACGTGATACATCACCACTAGGAACTTCCACGGATGCCTGCAAGTTACAGATAGACATGCAAGAAACATGCACGGTTCAACGGATAGACTTTTCCTGCATTTGTCCAAAGTTTGCGCCATGTAGCGTCGCGCCTCACCATCTTCAAGGCCGGCTGCAAGGTTGTCACTGCCGTTCATACGTCGCAAACTGTAGCGCTCCTAAGTTGTTAGACTGTTCTTCATACTTGGTAGGTATGGTATGTTGTTTTTGACCCAGCGTTGCGTTATTCTTTTTTCAAGTACTGGTTTATTCACGTTTAAATCACAGCCAAACATCAGCTGGAGGGGCCTTTGATTCAGCGCTGCTGGACAGACCAAGCTGGTTGTCAGGGACTGGTGAATAATCCTTCTCGGTGACCACCTCAAGGCTTTGAGGTGATTCATGTGGAACAGGTTCAGGAAGCTCAAGGACCTGACTCCTCAGACGAACATGGACGTAATAATAATCTGTTTGGGAAATGTTCACCTCAGGTGGATTTGTTCTCATGCTTGAATCATCGCCATATATCGCCAAGTTTCTTCAAAGGTTCCTGAGAAGGTTGATCCATCATAGAAGCATCTTCACCAAAGAGATCCTCCTCCGTCATTGCGGCCATGTTCCCATCCATGGTAGCATGATAATCAAACTGCTGATTGACATTTTCAGCCTGCCATTGAATCGGACTGGGGTTAGCATTGCTGAAAGTTGTCAGTTCAAGTGCAGGTGAGCAGTCTTACTATTACTATACCAGGTGGCCTAGAACTTGACCTGCAATATCTGCAATTTCCATACATTGTTGGGAAGAAAGTCTTGCTGTGCAGAGAGCCTGCATCCCACTGGGTGTGGGTGTGTCGGAATCACGTACTTCATCCATAGTGTAGCCATCAACCGGCTGCTGGTAGGAATTGGATGTCTCTGGGTAGTTGGTTTCCTGACTGATCAAGCATACCGCATACCAATACTGTATTCTAGTTGTTACAGCACTTAGAATCATTGAAAAGTAAACGCTAGCCTGTGCATTGCATCGTTCCAAAGTAAAGTATACAGCCAGCCTGCGGCGCATTGGGGTCCTGTCCAACAGTCTCAGACTTCTTGGCGGCCCGTTCCTCGACGCCATCCATGCGACGACATTGTGTCTCTTACTGTTCTTCTAATTTTCATTGTTTTGTGTTGTTTTCTACCAAGTGTCCCTCTCGTCGATCAGCTGGTTCAGCTCCTCAATCTCCCTGTCAAGTGCAGTGTATCAAAAGGTGCAACTAGACTGAACTCAAAACAATTCAACGCAACTCATCACGACAACTCAAACCAACTCATCAACTTGAACTCAAAACCAGCTTCAAGCCTGAAAAGCTCTGCCTGTAGCTCTGGAGTCATCTCTTTGCAGGCTTCTTGGGAGTCATTATCATTCATCTTTTGCTGACATTCAAGCTCGGCCACATTCTCAATCATTTGCGAAAACGGCAAGTCATCCTGAAAGCATGCTTTGGTGACATTTCAAGTGATTGGAATATGACCGGATATTCCAAGTGTCCTTCTTCTTGGCTGGCTTCTTCGTGGCTCCCCCTTTCCTGGACATGTGTGTTTTTGGGCACGCAAGCAAAATAGGGTGAAAAGGCTGCAGCCGAGCCTTGTGGATGCAGGTCTTTTTTTGACTTCAGATTTGTTGCCATCTCCCAGCAACTCATCTACACCTTCAAGGCCAAAATGGCCGTTGCCATCGCTTTCATCTTCATCGTCATCTCCATCCCTAAGAGGTTCATGGTGTGGGTCACTTTCTTCTTCTTCTTCCTCCTTCTTGTTACCCTTCTTCTTTCCAGGCTTCTTAGTCTTCCCAGGTGATTTTGGTTTGGACGATGAAGACTTGCCCTTGTTCTTGTTCTTGGCTTTCCCTCCATTCGGTGATGACTCAGAGCTATCTCCAACCCTTGGAGGAACATTGTGGGCTGACCCCGAAGATGTATTCGTAGGGCCTAAGAATTCTGGCTGGTTGTTGTTTGCAGTACAAAAAACCTAAAACCAAAATACCAAGAACTTAAAACCAAAACGTGGACAAGGCACCAGCAAGCTTACGTGCGGATTCACCAGGTGCGTTGCAATGTGCTGCTGCTGCTGCCCGTGATTGTGATTGTGCCGGGCGCCTTGGTGCATCCTGCGAAAGCATCCTCGCCAAGTTGAAAGCCTCAGAGACAGAACCATTCCACATCGACCCTCCAATGAAGACAAGCGTCATGACTATTCTACAGGTTTTTTCACAAACAAGAACGCCTACAAGAAGTTTATTGGTACATAGTCTGGGCACCGGTGGTTTGAAGCCCACTGTCGGAGACACAAATTCGACGTCGCTGTCGGACATCACTCAAAAGGTCTAAGTAGGCGCCACCCAACCGTTGAACCCACTCTGCAGCAGTGAATATGCTGAGTTTGGCGGTGCAAATGTGTTTGTGGAAGAAACTCAAAATCACTGAAATTCAAAACCACTGAATCGGTTGTTATGCAGTGCAGTTCACTGCAACACTTTTGGCAGTCAGCTGCACGAGCCAGGTTTGAGGGTCATGTTCTTGAAGCCAAGGTGGCTTTACACGGCCAGCAAATGTAACGTCTAATCTCAGTGGGACAAAACGAGAGTCCCCTTGACTCTCTCTCCCACCCAATCACACAGGAGGTCCTCAGCCACATGCCCAACAAAAATAGTGTTTTTGATTTCTTGGTTTGGTTGCACTCTGTATGACGTATACATACATACATACAAGTATATACAAGTAAAACCACTATAGTTTGGGCCCATGTGGATCCGACGCCCCATGTGAATCCTGAGCATCACCGGAGCCAGCTACATGAGGCGCACATTGGTCTGATCGACTGCAAGCCCGCCAGAGAGGCAGCAAATGGGCCGGATTGGGGTCAAGGTTTTGCTGCCTTCCGTAGATTCCAGCCTTCGAAGTGTTCATGAACAAATGCTTTCAAATTTGATCAGGGCCGATTCTTTAACTTGGTAGGATCCCTGGTAGGACAAAAATTGTCAACTGTCCCAGGTTGAGGCATTGGCCAAAGCACCAAGAAACAAACAAGTTTGGTCACCAACTAGGCCTCATCCGCCAGCCAATCACTAGCTTCGAGTTGCCCTTGAGCTTCGCTAAGTTTAGCAGGGCGCCAAAGTTCTTGAACGTAGGGGATTGATCCTGCTTTTGTTTCTTCTTTCCTTTTTTCTTCTTTCCCTTCTTCTCATCACCCTCTTGCTCCTTCCGCTCGTCCAGGAGAAAGCACAAGGGTTTGTCAGCCTGTAGAACCTTTTGCTCACCTGTGCCGGTGAAAACGTGATGGCTCATCTTCAAAGCCACCTGCCAGGAACAAGCAAGGTGCTTTAGGAGAATGATAATTTAATGATAACAAACATTTAAAGATAAACACATGTTAGCTGGTGGGTGTCAAAGTAACCACCTCCCCATTGTCTTCCAATTCAAGGAGGATCTTCTTCAGCATCACTGGGCGCTCCACCGAAGGACATTTCATCAAATGTTCAGGCAAGTCCTTGCGCTCAATGAGGACCAACATGTCCATTGCAGCGACAAACTTGACCCATCGGCCAGCGCTATCCTGCATACATTCTGTAGCTTCCTGGCGGGTGATGTTGGTCAAGTTTTATGTGGGGCAGAAACAAGCATCCATTTTTCCATTGAAGCAAGCTGAGTTCATTGTGTTCACTCTGTATTTGTTTTGAGGTCTGAAATCTTTAAGATAAGATTCCTTTCCAGATCTCCATTCTCCACTGCCAAAGCTAAACCTGGGCAGAAGTTGGGCAATCAATGAATCAATCAATTTCAAGCTGACATGACGTTTGCTCTTTCAGTGTGTGTGTGTGTGTGCTGACTAGAAGCAGCTCGCGGTGCGCCTGGAACTCATTCTTGGCTTTGGAAACAAGATAGATAGAGTTGCCATCGCCACAAGTAAGCAGTTCCGCACTGTTGTTCAAAGTCATCTTTTGCCTTATCTCGAGGTGGACAGATATGCTGCCACAACATGCCATACCAACCAACCAACCAACCAACCAACCAACTAACAAACCAACCAATCAACAACTACTATAATTACAGTAACTATATAGTTAAATGACTAGTAATATTATATAGAATATTTATTATTATACTATATATATCCAATATGATATATATCCAAGACGTCCAAGACATCAAAACTCCTTTTTTGGGGGGCATAGCACACAATGACACAAAAAACTAAACAGCCAGTAAGAAGTCACGGGCTGACCAGTTGGGAGATTGCTGCTCCGTGCAGGTGTCCCCATCTTCAAGCTTGATCTTTTTGGCCGGCGCTTCATCGGCGGTCGGCTCAGTCCTCAAAAATTGGGCCAGAGGGCTGCAGGGTGGGCCATCTGTTGGAGTTGAAGCCAAGAGCTTTGGGGCCAATCATTTCATGTTTGAAACCAAGTTGTTCTTAATTGAAACCAAGTTGCTTGACTTCACCTTGAAGAAAGTCGCCGTCAGGGTTGAACTTGGCATTATGGTCGGTGATGATCCGCGTAGCCTGTTCCTTGGTCAGCTCTTCGTCGAGCCAACGCTGAGCATACACTTGTAATACCGCAAGCTGGCTGGAGTTGACCACAGAGCACACCTTGTAGTCTTTGTGGACTGTTTCAGTAGCTCCACCCTTCAAAGCTGCAAGCACCGGACCATAATCCGGAAACCCTGGCAGCTCCAACTGCCCGGATCTGCAGGCATTGTGCACACTGTTCGCCACTCGGGAGGTGAGTTCATCCACACTAGGTGCATCCAAAAGCACTGAAGCGCACATCACCCGATTTCCTGCTGATTGTTCCTGCAGGAGAGTAGTTGTAAGACATGTTGAACAGTTTGTTTCATTACTTTCCCAACAAGACCTCTTAGTTTTACCGCAGCTCTTTCTATCGTATTCAACTGACACAGAACTACTTCCAGGGACACCTGAATGATCAAATTGGTACCTCCCCCCCATCTCCTCCAGGGCTGCCAGACAAGCAAAGCCATCAAATCCAGTAATGTCAAGCAGCAGGGTGGTGCCAACAGAAGGCGGTCGCAGGGCATCCAAAGTCTTGTGGATTATGCTGGTTCCACCGGCGACCTGACAGGATTTCAAACTCTGACCATTTGTTTAAATCTTTTCTCGTTTGGTTCTACAGCAAGACTTCTAGTGTTTTTGGTTGGGCAATAGTATGGCATGTGGGAACAATGGCATGAGCAACGCTCTCACATGCCTGGCGCATTTCCTGGACGTCTGTGAGAGCTCTGCCAAGGTGTGGCAAGCTCTTTTTGCTGGATGGTCCCTGCGAGGCTGGCAGGACAACACATGAGGACAATAGTTGATAAGTGGGAACTAACATGAATAGACAAATACATAGAACATCAAACGATCAAAAACATATTTGGGGAAGAAGCACCTCTGGCTTCCACATGTCAGCGCGTCCAAGCATTGTGATTTCGAATTGTCCCCTGCTTGAAAGCCTTGGTGCTTTTGAAGATGTTGTTCTTCTCGGCCTTGGAAACTATGAGCAGCCCACTGAGTGTTCCATCTCGTTTTCCATAGATGGACTCCTTGGATCATGTTTTAGGAAGACAGCTCAGGGATTTTGGAAGACTGCTCAGGGCTCAGGGAAAATAATCATGAAAGGCTAAGCCACGGAATCAAAGATCATCGTCAAAGGCCGGCAGTGAAGGCTCAATTCTTTTGCAGATAGGGCCTTCCTTACTGCATGGGGAAGAAGCGCTGAGAAAGAACATGATACAATTTGTAGGCATAGACGCCAACACTCAGTACTCAGTACGAGTGTTTAGTGATCATTTAATTTGCTTCCATCTGTGTTGATTGAAGCATTCTACAAGTTTTCTTTATCCAAGCATCTCAAGCTGATACCGCACATCTCGGACCTCAATGTCCTCAGCGGCCTGGTTCTCATCATCGCTTTCATCATCTTCACTATCGGGTTCTTCCTTCTTCGCAAAATCGTACTTCTCATCCTCATCCTTGCATGTTCTGTCCCCATCTCGCCTAGCAGGAAAGGGTTCAGTTTTCAAGGGTGGGGTATGATGGGAAGGTGTTTAGTTGGTATGATGTACCGGTCAGTCATTAAATCCTGAAAAGTAGTTCATTTCTTTTGAACTGATGTTTCAACTGAACCCCACGTTCGGTCAGCTTGGCCAGCACGGTTGGCATGGATCAGAACTGCAATCCCATTTCTTTTGTATTTGTGGAGCAGGTTGGCCACAAAGGTTGTGACCCATTCGCGCTTGTGCGCCGTGAGGATCCCCTGTGATGGCAGGTTGATCCAACACACCACGCAGTGGTCGTCAACATCTCGCACTTCAGCCACATCTTGAAATGTTTGCTCGGTCCATTCGTTCACCATGGGCATCAGGGTTGTCAAGGAATCTGCTGCCCTCCCCGCCATGATCCGCAAAGACGATGACATGTGCTCCCGAACGATGTCCCATGCGCGGTTGTGCTGATCCTGAAGTCAGACAAGAAGATTCAATACAAGACCTCACCATGTGGGTAACATACAGTGGAGGAGGCTGTAGTGGTTCAAGCATTGGTGACATTGTGCCTCCAGCTGCTTGATCAACTTGTTCCTTGTTGTGGCCTGTGTCTTCTCTTGCCTCACGTGCAGGTGGATGGGCTATACGCAGATCTACAAGTGCATCGATGTTCCCAGTGGTGGATTGGGAGGGTTCTTCTTTTGCTGGGGTGGATGGCCACAATCCCACAAAGACTAAACAGTCTCAAAACATTCCAAACAATTAAAATAGTTGGAGATCTAGCTTCAGGGTAAGGTAGCAATCCCAAGTCTGGCAAAAAATCCTTGCCAAATCTTTGCGGCGAATGACAGAATCGATGCTTGCTCAAATTGGATCTGATCATTCTGCAGCTGTTCTTGCCAAGATAGGAAGGCCGCTTGCACAGATTTGGACAAGGCGTTTTTTTGCCTATCCTGGGCTTCACTGATGAAGTTGTCCAGCGTTGTTCCTCGAACCTCATTGAGAGCACTGCTTTTGGGTGAAGGTTGCAAGGAGAGAACACACCTGAAGCACATTTGAGTTCTCCCTTTTGGAACCTACATGATCTTTCATTTAGAGCATCTTAATAAATCTAGAGTGTCACAACGGGTTATGACATCATATTGGAACTTAGGGCATCCACTTCAGATATGCTTCATCCATGACATGTTACTATGCATCTTTTTTCACCAGCCTCTAGGACAAAGCTAATGCGCCGCCAGTCGAACTCTTCCCCGGATTTCATGATCGTCTCAAGGTCTGAATCAAGTGACCTCAGATTCTCAGGTGCAAACAGATTCAGGAAAACACCTTAAATATAGGAATCTATTTATACATCAAAAAAATCAATCAAACCCAGTTAAAGATTTCCATACACTGGAAGTGATCGAGTTTCCAGAAACCCAATCACAATTTCCTTTTGGCGGGAGGAATGAATCATTGAATATTGTTGGAGGAAATGCACCAGAAATGATTTGTATATTTTTCTGTTATGAAATTGCGATCGAGTTTCCAGAAACCCAATCATTTCTGGAATGTAGATTTGATGGCCCGGGGGCGATCCAATCGGCTCCGGCCAAGTTATGTTCCGGATTGTGATCGATGTTCTGGAAAATCAATCACATTTTGACATGTCCATTTGGCGCCGGCCAAATGGCTGGAGCCAAAAATATTTCAGGGCCAGTGATTTGTTGGCGCTAGCCAAGTGGGGGTCTCAAAACATGACGGGTTCCGACAGGTTTCTCTGGTCAATGCATCCAGGATTCCCCTTCATAAACAACTGCTGATGTTGTTCCATGACGGTCGAGGGGAACTCTTTGGCCATCATCGGTGATAGGTACAGCCAGAGGCAGACCACATCAAACAGCAGGAGCTGCTGCTGCTGCTCGCTGAGCTGCGCGTTCTTCTGCAAAATCGGGTCCAATAGGGGTCCAATAGCTTTCAATCGCTTTCAGTTCTACAAACAACATTCTATCATGTTGAACCATGTTGAACCCTGTGCCTTCGCTTTGTTGGCTGCATCTTTGCTGACAGCCCGAGAAAAATCCTAGCAGGGACGTAATAAGGGAAAAGGATTCAATATGATTCAATGTTCAACAACAAGAAGTCAATATGACATTTCAATAGTATGTGTCCTGGGTCACACGCTTCACCCAAAGGATTGTTGTTGCATCCGTCACCTCGAGGATCTGTTGGGAAAGAGGTTTCCCTGCGTAGACAGGACTTTCCATCCTGCTTGTGGATCCTGGGACCCAAAAGTCCATGGTGAGGATCTCAATCGGCAATCCTTTGGAACAAGAATTGCAAATAACATTGCAAATAGTGGCACACTGTGCATGCTTTCACAATAAGGGCAACTGTCCTGAGCAAGCATGGGTGTATGAGTCGTAGTGCGCATGGATCAAGCGCACAACGTTTTCTGGGGCTTTGAGCCTTGGATGGAAAACACAACTTTGAAATCAGTTCCATATTAATTGGCGTTCATTGGGGCAATGCATACCAGTGCATCCAAAAAACATGTTGTAGCACATCACCTTCTTTTGCTGGTCGATTCGATGTGATTTGAGGGTGCACAGCTTGTTGTATTCGGCCACCGTTTTGTTAAGCAAATCCCGGGTCGCTTGCCTTGTGCCAGGCCTCATTTGTCGCTTTTCCAATTCAATGGCCATCTTCAAATCACCATCAATGTAATGGCGCTGGGCGCCACCTTCTCTGCCGTGACATGTCCGATTTCTTAGTTGGCCAAGAGATCAACAACAAGTTGTACTGACACTGATTTGCAAATAATCGTTTCTCAACGGTGGTTTTGCAACCAAGTTTCTCAAAGACTGAAGGTAGTGCATGGATGGGTTACTGTAGTATGTAAATGAGCACCTGATCCACCGGAAGCTGGCCAGCATTCGGAGGACAGCTTCATCTTGAAGCTCGCAGCTCTCAGTCCATTCCTTGGCGGGGCAGTGAATGGCAGGGAAAAAACATGGACCTCCACAAGAGAAACATAGTCTCAACAAGCTTCCAGCTCGTGAATGAAGGCAAGGATTCCAACCATTATCAATATCTTTGTCTGGCCATCTATGAAGCCAATGGTGCAGGGCGCAATCTCCCGAGTTGGCCCAGCATGTGGGAATTTTATGTCCACCGATTCTCATGGGACATATCCTCCAAGAAACTCACGGAAGTGCTTGCTGAACTGGCTGTTCTGCGGGTAGTCTCAGGGTGGTTGTAAATAGACATGAGTTTATGTGAGGCTCATGCATAGAACGTTCAAACATGTTCAAACACACATTCATGTTTGGCCAACACCAGGCATCCGTTCTTTGCAGAGGGTCCGATGTCAAACAGGTGCAATGGAAGCCATACTTCCTGAAGACTATCTTGTGGAACCAGGCTCAGAGTTGGCCGTGATATCCCTTCTGGATCAAAGCGCCCCACCACCAAGCTGTGAACAACCTGAGTTGGAGTGTTGATCGCACACATGATGGCCAGACTCCAAAGTGACGGAAACCCAGGCCTGTTGGAAGACATTGCGATCTTCGAAGACCTTGTTGATGTGGTCGCCCAAGTTTCCTTTCTCAAGGACCTGGGGGTACAGACCCACAGTATTGCCTTTGCGCTGACAGTGGTTCGTAGAAATCCAAGGATCAGGCCGTGTCAAAGTAGGAGCATAGCTGGCCGAGCGGTTTCTCTGAGTTCAGCTCAGGCACTGCCATAACGGGATAACCCAAAATTCCAAAATATGAGAGTCGTGCCACAAACTATTTATTAATGATACCTTCACTGCTAGATATCACATTCCCTCAAAGGCATCCATTATGATAATCCACAAATGACATAAAGAGTCATGTGCTTGAGTGGCAGGCATATGTGCAGCAGTGAGAGGGATTGTGCAATGAGAAGTGCAAAGATGTACAAAGCGCCAAATGGAAAAACTGGACTTGATGCAGCGCTAAGTTAAAAGCTCTTAAACATCAAAGTGTTTCTCACAGAGAGGTGATCGATCCTGCAGTCAGCCTGGACTCCCCACTTTAGAGCCACCTTTGTGGCTCACTCACCCCGCGTCCGGCTCTCTGCGGAAAAGAACTCTCAATTTGTAAGGTTTCGGTGCTCTGCCTGGTTCACCAAGCATCACATCTCCAATCTGCTCATCAGCAGATGGCCCCAAGTTGATGAACTCAAATCGAGTTGGCCGCGGTCTCATCTGATCAGGGTCTAT